TAAAACCCACACGGGTAAGTTGCATGGGGCCAACATGGAACCCGTGGACAAACCCAATTACAACCCATATTTAGATGGAACCCAGATGGGTTTTGCATATCATCCCTAGTTGGGCCCCACCTAAAACCCAGGGAAATCCTGCATAAAACCTACTTGGGTATGTTGCATGGGGCTAACATGGAACCCGTGGACAAACCCACTTACAACCCAACAACAAACAATGCAATGTTATAAATCTATTGCCACTGTGTTCATGTTCACAGTTGTGCTTCACTGGTTGACTTTGGACTGCATCAAGCAGTGATTGCCAAATTTACAGCACATGTGAAAAAAATAGTTAAAAGCCACTGCACTTTTTTGACAGAAAAGAAGAAGTGAACAAATGATTATCAAACTATTATGAAGCTCTGTGGGGCTCTCTTTAGCCTCTATTTAGCCTCATAATGTACAGGCGATTCTCGATCACACTCCAAAACAATGTAACGAGTGGACTTCTTCCCTCTATATTGGCAATTTGGGTGTCTCTGCCCACTTTGTAATTTACAGGTGACCACAGGAAAAGGCTGGTTGCTCATAAACAGATTATTGCCCTGTGGAGTTCCTCCATTTCTTCCACAAACTACTTTATTATTATTATTATTTGCTTGAATGAAAGTGTTGACTTTTTTGCAGCCATTTTCAGTTCCAGAGGCAATGGTGTCTCTATTTCTGATTTCTTTGTCACAAGCATGCGCACTCACATGAGGACCCAAATGCTAATTGAGGAATTTTTGATAACGGGGCTTTTTATCATCTGGTTGACCATAAGCAGTGAGAGAAGCAGCCAAGACCAGCAGCAGAATCACAGCAGACAGATGAATCTCCATGATCTGGTGAACAACACATACATTTGACATTTGACTTATAAAAGCAGTTTATGTTCACTTGCACATATCTTATTTACTTTACTTTAACCCAGCCGTGCACGTTTTTGTACACAGACAGCCCCTTTGTTTTTCCTGTTAAACTGTATTCTTCTGTCCTTTCCCCCCCCATCTGCACTAAGACACATTTTTTGTGTATCTTATACTTCCTGAGTAAAGTTCGATGCGATGTGAATTCATCTAATTTAGGTAGTTAAGTCATTGGAATGTACTTATGTGTGGGTGACCCCTTTGTCATTTGTTAAAGCGGTCATATGATGCAATTTCAAGTTTTCCTTTCTTTTTGGAGTGTTACAAGCTGTTAGTGTATAGATAAGATCCCTGAAGTTGCAAAGACTAAAGTCTCAAACCCAAAGAGATATTCTTTATAAAAGTTAAGTTAAGTCCACGCCCTCCTAAAACGCCCCGTTTAAACACACCCCCACATGTCTACGTCACTGTGTGGGAAGATTTGCATAACACCGCCCAAATGTTCACGCAAAGAAAGAAGGCAGAACTAGTATTCTCGCTGTAGTATTGTTGCTGCCGCCGCTGCCATGTTGTGGAGGCGCTGTGTGTTTTGTTGAGATAAGAAAGCGAAACTACTTTGTTTGGCCTTCCAAAAGAGGGCACAACTAGAAATCAGTGGTTAAGTTGTGTTTACAACACTGTTCCAGAACACTTCAACCCAAATATTCAGATGTGTGCAGCGCATTTTACAGAGGACTGTTTCCTGAACCAGTAGCTTACAATGCTTCTGTGCACAAAGACTATAAAGTCTATATAAGTTTCTATAAAGTGGGGCAGTTCCAACTTTGCAAGGACACTCTGGTGTAGTGATCGACCGATATTGATTTTTTTTATAACCGATACCGATACCAATTATTTGCATGTTTATGTGCCCGATAACCGATATGCAGAACCGATATTTATTTACTGTTATAAAGTAAATAAATGACTAAGTGAAGTAAGAACATACTTAACTTTGTTTTTTCCTCTTTTCAGTCATCATCTTTTTTTTTTAAGTGTTGAAAATTAGCAGTCATTCATGTTAAAATTAATATTCATACTACAACAATAAAAAAAAAAACATTTTATTTATAAAAAGCATCAACAGCAACAACA